GTGCCAAAGTGCCGGACGGGCAGCACGGACCTGGCCTGGGCTCTGGAGGAGCTCGTGTCACCTCTGGGAGGTGACAGCTCCGATGCCAGCACACCCAGCAGTGCCCAGAGCGTGCCAGATGCTTTTGTTCGTTCTCCTGGCGCTCAGAAAMAAAACAACAATTTTGTCGGTTTATTCTTTTCTTCTCCGGCTACAAAACCCTGCSGGCTTTGAATAAAGGGAAATAAACAATTCCCGGTGACATTTTCAAACCGCTGTAAATTTCTACAACCCCTTTCGGTGAAACCTTTCGGGCTCAGCTTCTCTAAAAAAAAAGGTGAGGAAGAGGAGGGAGTGGGCATTAAGCAGGTGCGATGGATTTCCCTGGCTTTGCTGCACGGGAGCTGCTTTTAGGTTTTATTAAAAAGACAGAAATCTGTAGAAACCTTTATTAAAAGCTMATTAAAGGCTCATTAGAGGGCACCGAGTCCCGTCTGGGGCCGGGAGAGGGCGCGGGGCCACCCGGGCTCGGCGCAGAAACTTTGAGTCACTCGCTGGGTGTTTTGGAGCGAAATTCGGAGCTGCCGCCGCGGCCCCTTCCCGGCCCATTGTTGTGGTTTGACAATCACATTTTCCTGTTTTTAAAGCAAATGTTTTTCTCTCCCCTGGGGCCGTAACCGAAGCCCCGCGAGCGCGGCGGGGGAAAGTGCCCGGGGGGTTCCGGATGCGGAGAGACCCCCGGGGGCTCCGGAGTGGAGAGAAAAAACCAAAAACCCCCGGCATCGCCCCTTCCCTCCCATCTCTGCTTTGCGCAAGGGCAGCGGGAGGGTGAAGGAGGCAGAAGTGTGTTTATTTTTATTTTTTTACTATTTTTTTTTTAAGCTGAAGGTTCCTCTTTGCCGCGCTGTGGTTTCACGCCCGGCAGAAGGACATGGGGGTATTTTTGTAGGTTTTATTCAAGGAGAGTCTATTTAAAACAAACTTTTTGGGGCTGCTGACCACGTTACCCGTCGGTTCAAAGCAGAGGACGGGGCTGGGGAAATGGGGTGGCTGCTGGCAGCCCCTCACCCACTCGGGTGCTCGGGGAGGGTGGCAGAGGTGGGGCAAGACAAGGGATTGCGTTGAGAAATTCCGTTTATTATTCAAGTTCCTGTGCGCGGAGTGTCTGCACGCCGCCAGATTTGCATCGAAATAGGAATGATTTGACTTTTACTGAATGGAAGTCAAGAAGTTAAAGTGCTGCGCGGCGGCTTTGCAGCCGGGTCGGTGTTTCCGGGCGAGTGGGGCTGATATCG